TCTAGTTCCCTTTGTCCAGTGCGTATTAAGTGGGTATAGGAGATGCATTTAGACCCTCAGTATTGGATTTTCTAAAACTAAATTTGTCTTGATTCCTTTTCTTTAGTGCGGGCCTTCATTGACTCCTAATAAGAGTTTGTATTTTTCTCTAATATATTTGCCCTTGTTACCATTAATAATGACTTCCCATTGTATTCAAGAATAGAGTTCGGAATATCTTACTTGGATATTCACGGAGCTCGAGGGGGTTGAAATGCTCCTCAAGACCCCTCTCACAGTATTTTTGCTACCCTTTGAACTAATTTTTATAATAAGTCATTCTGATCCATCCAAGTTATAAAATTTGAAGTAGGATGGATATGGATTTATGGATTCTCATTTTCTTAATTGTCTACGTTCCTGATAAACTAGTGTTTTTCATAAGTTGACTAAGGTTTGCCATTGCGACCTATCATGTTTCAGATGTAGTGCCTTCAAAAATCCACAATACCACCCCACATCAATACACTTTCTATACGGATCGGGGTGGGTGGGTGTGATTAAAACTTACCTTACTGAGGTTGCCTTATGCGCCTCTATTTGCTTTATCCCCAAATAGCGAATTACAACTAAACAATCTGTTTGAATAATGTCAAGGCGTATACCCTGTGTGCGAATAGGGATCGGTGTGCGTGTTTTTGCCGATGTACGCCGAACCCCTGCTGCTGAGCTTGTTATTTACTTGCTGAATTGGGGATGATTTTTGCACTTCATAAGCATCTGAGCAAATTTTAACGCGGTTGTTATTTAGGGGGAAAATTTTACATATACTATTATTATTATAACATTTGAGCAGAGACTCTGTATTCACTTTCAAACGTCAATAAAACATAATTTCAATAATAAAATCATTTGCGCGTATTCGTTACGTTACACGATTAATGAGAGAATAATCTTTAATTTTCTAACCAGGCCCTACCATACAAAATTTCATCCTCCAATTCATTATAGTGAATATTAAGGTGCTTGGGGACCCCCCTTGGCTTTTAAGTCATAATGAGTGGTGTGTGGGATAGCGTGCCACCTTCTTCTCCTTCCCAAACTAGTACTACTACCACCACCACTGACGTTCCTCGACGGAAAACTCAAAAGGTGGAAATACCCCGTGAAAATCCTGATAGTAATCTGTGCAGTTATTATCTCGTCCGAAAACAGCGTTTTTGTCGAACGGTTCGGAGCCCCGGATCATCTTTTTGCCACACCCACAACATTTATTCCACTCCACCGCTCGCTCATGAGGTTAGTAGACAGGACATTAAGACGGCAGCCCTTACCACTAGTAATGCTGCGACCCTATCGGACGCCGAAAAGGACGTGGATAATTGTCATAATGGAAACATACAACGTGTACCATGTCCGATAAACCCTAACCACACTGTGTATCGGTCGAGGTTGGAAAAGCATATGCGAGTATGCCCGGATCTTCGTTTTGTGAACAGTGGGTTGCCGTACTTCCGCCAAAACTACCATGCTAACCGCAGTTCACACCTTGCCGATGCGATAGATGTACGTGACGAAGTTAAGGAAAGCGGCGATCCTATCAGTTCGGAGGCGAAGATTCTGGAAAAACAATCCAACATATTCTACACACACAAGAATTTAGCCCAAGAAGAGTTGAACTGTCTCATTGACCGCGTTACGTCCTGTTACACCAAGTTCATTAAGGATCAGATCGTCGTTTTGGGCGTGGAGAATGATGGCTCTGACACGGCAGAAATACCTAAAATGTGGGGGGATAATATCAAACAATCCAAGAAACATGCGCCGCAACACCAGGGTCTCCTTCGCTGTTTGGGCGAGGCGGCGGCCAGGTCTCATCAGGAGCATCACTATAGCCAAAACCAAGAGCCAGATCGGGAGTCTTTTCGGTGTTTAGATGGTTTTCTAGAGCTTGGTGCTGGCAAAGGCAGCCTTTCTGTCGCTTTGCAGCAAGTTCTTGTCAACTACATAGAGTATCAAGAGAACTCGAGTGGTGGGGGCATGCACTGCGGAACGGCATTGGAGCGTCAACTGCCCTTCCTACAGCACGTGTCGCTGCGCCCTGTGCTGGGGGTTGTGGATATGGATGGCTTTCGGCGGAAGGGCGACGCACGAGTGAGTCACTCAAAGATTCCACTCTGTCGGCTTCGTATTAACCTGAAGGACATGGATCTCACCGAGGCTTTTGTTTCGAAGACCTTTAGCACAGCGCGTGTGTCGTCTGGGGACGCTTTATGCTCTGAGAGAGGAGAAAGAAGTGGCAAAGACTTACAGGAAGAGGAAGGGAACGATGCTTCCGGGTCTCTTTCTATTCAGCGGGAAGTCAGCGACTGGGCCGTGCTGGGGAAGCATTTGTGTGGGGCGTGCACTGACTTCGCCTTATCGTGCATCACCGAAGAGGAACTGGTTTCGCGCGCTCGCGTGAGGATGTGGTTGGTGGTGCTTGCCACTTGTTGCCACCATCGCTGTGAGCTGAAACACTTCAATCCACTTGCGTGCGATTCAACGGACGTGAGTTCTGCCCAGCCTTCCCCCGAGACGATTCTGCGGCTGCCCGGGACCGACTTTACCATAACAGCGAAGCAGTTTGCCTGCCTGGCGAGTATGTCTTCCTGGGCGGTATCTGGTGCCTTCGTTGAGGAGTCCCGTCGGGAAGTCGGTTACTACTGCAAGCGTATTCTCGATAGCTTTCGGGTAAGCTATCTTCGGCAGCACGGCTACACAGCCTGGCTATGCCAATACACGGAGCGCGAGGTGACGGAGGAAAATGTCTGTATTGTGGCTTATAAAGATGACTAATTAAGACTTAATCAATGCCATGCTGCGTGTGTGTACAGGGCTATGGCAATGCTGGAGGATGGACGTAACAACATAGTTCATATAAATTATTATTTATTCACTCGTAAAAGGTTTCAATGCCTTCTTGACACATAGATTTTTATGTTTTTTTTTTAACGTTATTGTTCGTGTTCCTCGATTTGTTACCATTATTTTACCTGAATAATGCAGAGGAATAGTTTATTTCAATAAGTTATTATTGCAAAACCAATTAGCAACCTCTGACAGTGCTGTGCAATCTTGTTACTTTAATTCTGAGGACAGCTCAATGCCAAGCCAGGCTTCAAAATCCGTTCCTGACGGAGGAAATTCGGAAGCATCGTCATATGAAGGTCTGAGCAGCAGCGACAGGGCTTTTTTGGAGACAATGACAGGAATCTTCGCCCAAGGCAATCCCAAGCACGCCCTAGAGGGCCTTGGAGATGGCGTTCGGAATGTGGCCACGGGGGTTGGGTTGGGGGTGGCGGCGCTCGTCACGACCACTTCCGCGGGCGCCTCGCAGGAGGGGGCCTTGGGCGCCGCCAAAGGCCTTGGCGCGGGGCTGGTTGGGTTGGCCGGTTTAACGGGGTACGGGACCTACGCCGGGGTGCGGCAGCTAGTCCGTGGGATCACCAATACCCCGGAGGCCGCCACCCACGCGCTGAAGGGGGACCAGCTGTGGGATAGCACCTTGGGAAAGTGGGCCGAGGTGAACCTATGGCAAGATCTCGCGACCCTCCCCGCCACCGACGAGGATATCCAAGCCCAGGCGCGGCGGGAGTTTATTGAACAGGAAAAGATCTTAAAAGCGTACACCCCCGCGAAGGAGGGAATTGCTCACGAAGACTCCAGCCCCGTGCGCTCATCGTCATCTCCGGATTACTATGACCTCCTGGGGGTTGACCGGACAGCCGCCTCCGATGAAATCAGGAAGGCCTTCATGCGGAAGGCTTTGGTGGCTCATCCCGACAAAAATCCCAACGATCCGGACGCCACCTGGCGATTTCAGCAACTGATGACCGCCTATAACACCCTAAGCAACGAGGCCATGCGCGTCACGTACGACCAATACAGAGAGGATCCGTCGCTACGAAGAGAAGGGAGCGGCGCAAACGCGGCAGGGGGAGCCGAATCAGTCAACCTATTGGAGGTCATACTTGGAGCTGAGTTCCTCGAGCCACTGATAGGAAGGATCCGCCTTATTTATTACTTTGAGACTAATGCCTTGTACACGCACGAGATGCTTACGGAGCTGCACCGTCGGAATCGATTGCGGGTTGCGCGAAACTTACTTTCCTTCGTGGAGGCTGGTGGGGAGGAGCGATTCCGTGCTGCGTTGCGTGATGCGATCTCGACCCGATGTGGGCCGCAGATAGTTGACTGCGTCGCCGAGGGCTACCACATTGCTGCGCGGCAATGTCTTTACGACAGCAGCTGGAAGCGCGAGTTAGACAGTTGGTACACCTCAAAGGCGCTTTCATTGTCGTCCACTGCCCATGCTGCGGCGGCCAGCGCGAAGGCGGTAACGAAGGCCATAAAAAAGACGTTATCTGAGGACGACATGACGGAAATGCTTCTCTGCGCATGCAAGTACGATGTTTGCCGCACCATCATACAGACCTGCCGGCTAATTCTCTACGATAATGGTGCGAGTGCAAACGAAAAGCATCAGCGTGCGCAACGACTAGATATGCTGAGCAAGATGGCTCGAGTAGAAGTTGAGAAGGAGATGGCTTCTCGTGGAAGCGCGAAGTGACGTAGGTGTATGAAGTGTTTTCATGGTGCACTCCATGATGCGAGAATCTTCCCTCGATTTATTTACTTATTCTTTTATAGCGATGATCATATTTTTTTGGCTTTTTAGGATTCATTGGTAGCGTAGCTTTCTCAGTGTGCTGAAAAAATATTCGTAAACTTTCGTATTCGGGGGGATTAATATCTGTAGATAAAGTTACGATTTTGTTTCTATCTATTACTCATCTATTTCAACGATTTATTTCCTTTTAATCTACATATGGTACGCATTGCTTTGAGGTTGTATTTCGAAAAGCATGAAATTATTATTCTTGGTTCTATATTTTATATTGATTCTTACTCTTTTATAATTAAAGGCAGCTTGTGGAGTCATGAGAGCTAGAGAGGTCTGGTCCTCAATATCAAAAATCCTTGCGCTAGAATCCTGGTATCATTATCTTTTTCTGACCTTGCTGTTCTCTTCGCTTTTAGTATGGAAATATACCTGTGAAAGGAGTAGTATGCTTTTCATTTATAATGCTTTATTCCACGGGTTCAAAGGACTATTTTTGGTTCGATTACACAGCGACTATGGTTCTATCTCAGAATGTTCCATCAAAAACGAGTCGTGTGATTCGTTTTCATATGTCTAGAATTCTTATGAATGCCCCAAATTTCTTTCTTCAACCTCTTTTACGTTTTATGCTGCCAGCCACATTTCCAAAAACATCAAAAGTACATAAAATCTACTTTGGGATAAGATAATGAGCGATACTACTACCGATGCTGTACCTGGTGTGTGTCCTAGGGGCTCAAGTGATATTGTAAAGCCAGATGCGAATCCCACAGTTACCGCTCCAGCACATTCCAACTTTTCTCACGGTGGAAGGGAAGGTGAAACGTTACTGAAGAATGTGGTGGACCTCCTTAGTGTTATGTATGGTAATAAGTCCATTGTTGGCGAGGACAAACAGGAGCCGCATGGTGTACATGCTGTTTCCGCGCCGGGAAGCGCAGGACACCGTCTGAGCACGCGGGCAAGTTTGTACAAACGGACCCTTAGAACCCTGCAGCTCTCCCATACCGCGACCGAAACCACCGTACCTATAGGGGGTCCACTAGCGGATGAGGTGGCGAAGGCCAAAAGCGTGGGTGAGAACGACTATATTGGCCAATTGTTAGACTACCTTGTGCGAACGTACTCAACGCAGCGAACTTCTGACGATTCTGCCGTCGCGCGTGATGAGCGGTGGACCAATTACATCTTGAACAGTGGCGAGAAAAGTGCGTTGGCTCAATTTGGGTCGCTACGAAACACCCAGAGAAACAACATTGATATGTCAAATTTTGTGAATCATACTTTGGATACCTTTTTGAGACCCGGGACACAGCTTAACTCGACGTGCTCTATGCTGTCGAACCTTGAGATGGACACAAACTTTGCAAATTTGCTTTCTTTCCATACTAAAAGTAATCTGCAAAACAACATGGATGAACTTGAGGAGATGACTGAAACACTGAAGCCTATGTTTGTGGGGCAGCAGGCTATGTTTAAATCCATCGGATCCACCCCAAAGGATGAATCAAACGATAGCTCTTTGAGTACATTATGCACGATGAGAATGCCAAAACCATACTTGACGATATCCCAGAAGGGATGTGCTTCAGGAACCGGATCCGTTCCCCCCTCTTCGCAGAGCATGACATTGGATTCCAAGGCTTTAGATTTATGCCATGGTAGAGATACGTTTGACGACCTTCCGGCAGGAGGTGGGGCAAGGAGCAGCTTCCTACCAGAACCCATCGCGGCACCCTGCGCAGCTCGCGCTGATGGCGGCGAGCACACCCTCCCAAATCGTGTTGAGGAATGTCCACTTTTGAGTGAGTTGGTGAGGCAGGAGGTGCTCAGCCGAAACATCCTGCTCGCACTTGAGCAGCAGCTGCGAGGTTACATCGTATCAGCCTATAACACAAAAATTGAAGCGTTTCGAAGGTTGAGGCGGTGAAAACACGGAATGACTGTGAGTTTGCTTAACCGATGCTGCCGCATCAAAGTGAGAATTCCGGTCCGGTATAATTGAGATCTCTCACGTGATGGTAGCATTGTCAATTGGAAAATATGGCTGATGATGATCTTTTAGGATTCACAACAGTTTTGAAAGCTTCAGCTTATGCCATGCGAGGAGCCATCTGCCTCACATCGACATCACGTGAGAAAGGGGCGAACAGGATCGAGTATCAGAAAGTCCTTGATATATTTTAGTGCTTATTATTATTTCGTAAGCGTCTTTGTGGTTAAAGTTTAACGGTTTGCATTCCTTTTTTGATCTCTAATCCATATTTATCCATCTATCGATTTATATATGCATACACACACATACATACATACACATATCTATATATCTATCTATCTATATATATATATATATATAGATAGATATTATTATTCTTACATGTGTATCCTTTTTTGTATTTCTTTGCTTTTTTATGCATGCTTATAATTAATTTCACTACCATTCAGATCGGAAAAAACTCGCCTATACATTGCGCTCCTCAACACAACTGTTGTATCGATAAACACCTTTGCTTCCGATCTCTTGGAATTATACGAGCACCAAGGAAGGGTATGCATGGGTGTCTAATGGAGGGGTTATGTCATATGCGTAGTTCCTGATGACGATGCCCAAGCAAGAAACTCACATGAGATGAGATAGTCTCTACCTGGATAGGATGATATTTTTTAGGCTATTTTATTTATATATACTTGTGTATATACACAATAAAGAAATATTGTTGCTTGAATATGCGTCATTAAAACTTTATTTACCTTCCATGCAATGCTTTATTTTTGATTGCTTTAATTCTTTATAAAACTTTACTTTCCATATGATAATTAAGTATATACTTGAAGTATTCCTCTAATATACGGAACTTGATCTGTGTGTATATTGTTTTAAGGTATTTGACAGGTTCAGACGACTGAATTTATTGGGATGTGCATCAATTTTCTCTTTTCTTTTTCTCTCCTAATGTCGCAGCACTTGAATACCACCACCACCATTTCCTCTGAGCTTAAACCGACACAACAAAACAAAACAAACACCATTTTGGTATGACAGATGCTCGCACGAAGCCCTGTTAGTTCGATGCGGGTGCTGTGCTTAACGATGATCCCGGGAGGGGGGGCGATGGCGCCCGCGCTGCGGCGGCTGGGGTACGAGCCCTACCACCTCATGACTTGTTTTCAGGGCGGCCACGCGAGCACGCACACCACCGCGTGGTCGGAGATGCTCAACGGGCGGCGCGCGTTCGACGGGAAGCTCTTCGCGGCCTACGACAGCTTAGTGGGCCCCCCGGCGACGATGCTCTACGATCGCATCCTGCGAGAGTGCCCGGGATACACGAAGGTGGTGCTCGTCGTGGAGCCGGAGAAGGATCGCTGGGCGGCGGAATACGATCAAGCGGCGGAGAGGCTCGCCCCGACCCTGCGGCGCATCGGAAGCTCCAAAAAGTTCAACGCCGCCTTTACCAACATGATTGATGAAATGGTGGTGAAAGGGGGCGATCTGACGTCTCCATCCTTCACGTGGGTTGATGATCTACACTCGACGGAGAGCGAGCGATCCTCGCAAGAGGGGGCGACGGCGATGCGCCCGCGCGCGGTCGCGCTGCAGCAGTTCGAGGAGGGCGTTAAAATTCGCGTTCCCCCTGGGCGGTTGTTGGTTTACCGCTACGGCGACGGCTGGGATCCGCTCTGCGCGTTTCTGGAGAAGCCCATCCCCGACGAGCCCTTCCCTGCCTACGACAACGGGGTGCAGCTGCTCATCAATCTGGTGGAGAAGGTGCTCTTTGTTGAGGTCGTTCGTAGGTGGTTAACCAGGCTGTTTGGCCTTTGGACGTTGTATATGCTTTTCCCTTACTTGGGCAGTGGAACGGCCTATTTTTCTGAACTGTTTCGCGAATATTCCATAGCCTCTGGACGTGACGCCCATCCAGAGGCTGTGGCTAAGTCTGCGGAAACATCTCTCGCTTCCGAAATCGAAGAGTTACCTCGTTGATCTGAATCAGAGTTTGGTAGGCACTTGGTGGTGGTTATTAGGGGTATGTGGGAAGGCTCAAGTGATGTTATTAAGGATAAAAATATAAATAAATGAGGCGTTTGGTTAGACGCCTCATTTCAATGTTTTGATGTTTTAGCAGATGAGTTTGAGTCTTTTTATTACCTTCATCGGCTCGGTATCATATTGGCTCCTGAAATTATGAGAGCCATCAGCTTTTTTATCACACCAAGAGGATGATAGGAGGGCTATTTACGATTGTGGCTTTGCAAGCTCATATATGTATTTCCTAAACTTACCTATCTTACTACAGCTTTGGTATCCCGTTTACATAGCTGTACCGTCTCCATCCCATGGAAAAGCATTGCGCACTGTTAACAACACCATAGTGCAATGGAAGACATTCGATTCTATGGAATGTGGACATGGCTTGCATAGGTTCATATCGCACTTTTACTATTCTTCTTACTTATATTTGGAGACAATAAAACATTTTTTTTTTTAGTAAATAAGTCATAGCATCATCGGTTCAGTCACGTGTTCTCACTCGCTACGCTTATGAGTGTGGATTGCAGCACCAACAGCCTGTTTTGCAATGGGCACTAACTCTTAGTACTTTTTGACCTTTTCCCTGGACATAGTGGTGGTAAATTGTGTCCGCAGGGAGACTTCATAAAATCACCGCAAAAAAATTCCGTTTTAAGTGGAGCTCGAAGAGCTTGTTATTATTCTCTTTTTTGTTCTTCATCTAATCCCCACTGATGGGGGTTATACCGCTGATTTCAATTCTTGCAAACTCTATTTTTACACCAGTTCATTGTGATTTTAAAAGCGCCTAAATACAGCTTATACCGATAACGCGCCTGCCAGCCTTACTGTATCGATTCGATATGAGGGTATAACAACACAAATTCTTTTTTGCTTTTCCTTTTTACCTTCTATTTTAGTTTCACTAGTTTTCTATCTTAAAGCTCGAATTAAATTAACACAAAAATATAAACTAAATCACGACTGTTGGTTCTTTTTGTCGAAATCATTAAAAATACACAAACACAATTAAGTCATGTCTCAAAATCCCCACGAAGACGATAACAAAGCTGTAATGATCTTACCTAGTACAGATTTGTCCCCTGAGACTGGTAGAGTGTCTGATGTCCATAATGACATGTCTAGGGAGGAGGAAGCGCTATCTTTGGAACATGAGAATTGGCAGTGCGCGCGGAAATGGCCCTTCTATGAGTACCGAGTGGTGTGGCGGGAGTACTTCGCGGAGTTTTTCGGGATGTGGGTGTTCATGACGCTTGGCCAGGGCACGAGCGCGACGACGACCTTCCTCACGGAGAAGTACCCCAACAACCAGGCGGTGGCAGCGGAGGTGCTCGTGATGTTCGGCTGGGGCCTTGCTGTTACGATGGGGCTTTACGTCTGCATGGGCGTCTCGGGAGGACACATGAACCCCTCCGTAACATTCGCTAACTGTCTTTTTGGTACGATGCCGTGGCGGAAGTTCCCTGGCTACGTGTTCGCGCAGACCTTCGGTGCATTTATAGCCTCAATGTGTGTTTACCTCCTTTTCTACAATCGTTTTAAGCACGCTGAGGCTGAATTGGCTCCTGGGGAGACAATGACATTAAAATACGGTGGAATATTCTGTACATACCCTCATGAAACGAATGCGGTGTGTGCGTGGAACGAGTTTCTCGATACGACCGTTCTTCTTTTCTGCATCATGGGCATGTTTGATTCCCGTATGACACCTGCAGATACCTACAAACCAGTGGCGGTTGGGCTGCTCATCATCACGATTGCCGTATCAATCGGTATAAACTCGGCGTTTGGGATGAATCCTGCACGTGATCTTGGTCCTCGCATTGCATCTTCTTTGCTCTTCAAGTCCACTGATCCATTTACCGTTTTCGATCATTATTTCTGGATTCCTACATTTATCCCTCCATTCGGGGCTGCTTTCGGGATGTTTTTATATACCATTTTCATTATCCCGGACAAAAAATGAAAAGTAGTGATCGAATGGGTAAGCTAATTTAAAATAATGATACAGGAACCTCCCTTAATGCATCCTATTTGCTTATTTTGATGTGTATAAACTTAAAAACTATTTTTGAGGAAGAGGTAAAAGGGTATAAAAAATTAATTATTCCTTCTATATTTACGGGGTCATTGCGAGACTGCCTTTCGAGTATTTCTTTTATTTGTTGGCGTAATGAAGTAAAACCTTTAGTTTTAAAAATGCTTGATTGACTTGAATTTTCTTTGAATTAAAACGGATGTTTTTTGTTTATAATGAATGCCTAATTCTCACTTTTTTGAAGAGGGAATATATTTATATCCATAGTGAGGTAAATATAAAAAGAATAATAACTAATTCGGTCTGCGTAATAAAAAGGGATGTTTATTATACAGAGTGAGGTGTAAAATGTTTGCTACATGTCATGTGTAGTACGTGTATATGGACAGTTTATTGATAAAAAAACTAATAAGATACTCAAAAAAGTCTAATTTAATATTGGGAGTTAGAGATATTTTTATTTTCAGTATTTTTTTATCTTTTTAACCTGAATGTATCCATAAATATAACGAGGATTTATCAATTAATTAGCATGACGTAGGGTTGGGATGTTATAGTGGATGATCTCGACACGACCATGTGGCCAATTCAAATATTTCCTTTCTTCTCCTCTTTTTGAGCCTATCCGCATGCTGTAGTTGCACAGACTTTCTGTGTATGTACCACCCCAAAATATGAGCGACTAGAATTAATCATATTTCAAGCATACGCGATTTTTGACTAATTAGCAATCATTATAGAGAGTATGTTGGATTTCGGCGAGTTTTTTCCACACGGTTCGAGGTCGTCTACCCCGCTCAAGGGAGATGGCTACCTGATTCCACGGTTATCATCATAGTGGTAAAACCTCGTTTGCCTTCCAGGCGGCCATCAGCTGAGTTCTCAAGGGCGGCCATGTTGTCGTCCTTTGCCACGAGCCCGCGCTCTACACAAACATTCCAAAGCCGTTCGTTCCGCTCAGCAGTCTTTCCGAGTAGGCGTTGCATCGTATCGAGTTCATCTACGTCGGTAGCTGGGGGGAGGCGGCGAAGGAAATGGCGGTGATGCGCACCGTCGAGGAGATCCCTACGCTTCTCATCATCGACGACGACGATTTCGCTTCTGCCGAGGAGGGGAAAGAAGCAGGGGGTGGTGGCTCCATGGCGATCGCCCTCTCGTACCTCAGTAACATCGCCGAATGGATGCGTCGCGCCGTGAAAACGTTTCACTACGTTGTCGTAACAAATGCTGCAGTCGATGCGGTGTCGGATAAGAGCCGCCTCGGCGGTCGTCTGGCGCCGCCGTATGTTTTCTTTCCGGTGG